TTTGGTGATGAGTATTGACCTTTCCTGTGACCTTTGGTGATGAGTATTGACCTTTCCTGTGACCTATGGTGATGAGTATTGACCTTTCCTGTGACCTTTGGTGATGAGTATTGACCTTTCCTGTGACCATTGGTGATGAGTATTGACCTTTCCTGTGACCTTTGGTGATGAGTATTGACCTTTCCTGTGACCTTTGGTGATGAGTATTGACCTTTCCTGTGACCTTTGGTGATGAGTATTGACCTTTCCTGTGACCATTGGTGATGAGTATTGACCTTTCCTGTGACCATTGGTGATGAGTATTGACCTTTCCTGTGACCATTGGTGATGAGTATTGACCTTTCCTGTGACCATTGGTGATGAGTATTGACCTTTCCTGTGACCATTGGTGATGAGTATTGACCTTTCCTGTGACCTTTGGTGATGAGTATTGACCTTTCCTGTGACCATTGGTGATGAGTATTGACCTTTCCTGTGACCATTGGTGATGAGTATTGACCTTTCCTGTGACCATTGGTGATGAGTATTGACCTTCCATATGACCATTGGTGATGAGTATTGACCTTCCATATGACCTTTGGTGAGGAGTATTGACCTTCCATATGACCTTTGGTGAGGAGTATTGACCTTTCCTGTGACCATTGGTGATGAGTATTGACCTTTCCTGTGACCTTTGGTGAGGAGTATTGACCTTCCATATGACCTTTGGTGAGGAGTATTGACCTTTCCTGTGACCTTTGGTGATGAGTATTGACCTTTCCTGTGACCTTTGGTGATGAGTATTGACCTTTCCTGTGACCTTTGGTGAGGAGTATTGACCTTCCATATGACCTTTGGTGAGGAGTATTGACCTTTCCTGTGACCATTGGTGATGAGTATTGACCTTTCCTGTGACCATTGGTGATGAGTATTGACCTTTCCTGTGACCTTTGGTGATGAGTATTGACCTTTCCTGTGACCTTTGGTGATGAGTATTGACCTTCCATATGACCATTGGTGATGAGTATTGACCTTCCATATGACCATTGGTGATGAGTATTGACCTTCCATATGATCATTGGTGATGAGTATTGACCTTCCATATGACCTTTGGTGATGAGTATTGACCCTGTCACTGACCATTGGTGCTCAGTATTGACCTCTGCCTCTGGACGTGCTGAGGTGTACAATAGCGAAACATGTCATTAGCGATGAGCATCAGGGCCATTCAAATGTGATAAATGAGCTATGGAGAGTTCTAAGGTTCGAATCCCTGACGGGACAGAAATGATTGGGCACAGTTTTTTTCACCTAATGCCTCTGTTCACCTAGCAGGGCGTAGGTACTCAGGAGTCAGCTTGTTGTGGGGTGTCATCCTGGGGGAGGGGGGGGGGGTGTTTGACCTCGATAAAAGCCTAACGTGTGCGAATATACTTTGGCATCCTGTCCCCTGTCACAATGAATTAATAATATACACAATGAAATGTCGTTTCATCATTTTCTGAAGAGTGGTTTGGTCATTATATCTTCAGCCACGTTATTGTGACTCATCGTCTGCATTGATCTCTAATTTAAGTAATCGTTCTCTCAAAATGACGTCACACCATCTTGAGATGATTTCGGGGCTTAACGTCCCCGCGGCCCGGTCCTCGACCAGACCTCCTTTTTGTTACACACCCCCTAGGAAGCAGCCCATAACAGCTGTCTATCTCCCAGGTACCTATTTACTGCAAAGTGAACAGGGAGCATCAGGATGAAAGAATCTGCCCATTTGTTTCCACCTCCAAGGGGGACTGAACCCGGAACCTTAGGACTACGAATCCCGAGCGCTATCGACTCAGCCCTCAGGCCTCCCTTAGAGATTAGTGAATCAGCCCAAGATGTTTAGATCCTGATGCCCCACAGCTTCTTGCATCTTGACAACTCTCTCTCAGAAGTGACTTTCATAACAAACCAGCTTGAATATAGAACAGGCAGGGCAGCCACGATGACTCTTGCTTCTCACTAGTTTTCTATAATTTAGAAGGAAATATTAAAGTTACAATTTTTTTATATATTATGTGTGGTGGCTTTGTTCCTTCACTACCAACACCATCATGTGTAAGGAATTAAGATACCAAGATGTAATAAAGATGTGGATTACTTAGTCGGAAAGATGCAACCAGTGCCTTGGTTACACCTTAGGTGCAAGAAGGTGGTTAGGTGGGTTAAGGTTAGGTCCTTAAACTGTAAAAGTGTAAATAAAAGATTAATGTAGGAAGGAAGGCATCTAAGATGCAGGAGGGGGTGTAAGGTGTAAGGTATAATTAACCTAAGACTGTGTAGGTTAATTGATGGAATTGTAAGGTTTTTATCTCTCCTTTATCTGTCTCTCTTCATCTGTGTCTCTGTATCCTTCTCACTCTGTCTCGGCTCTGTTTCTCTCCTCTCTCTGTTTCTCTTCTTTCTGTGTGTCTTCTTCCTCTGTTTCTCTCGCTGTCTCTCTGATTCTCTCCTTCTCTGTATGTCTTTATCCTTCTATGTTCTTTCTCTGCTTCTCTCTGTCCTCTCTTGCTCTCTCCTGTCTGTTTCTCACCTTTCTCCTCTGTCTCTCTTCTCTCTGCTTCTCTTTCAATCTCTTTTTTCTCTCCTTTTTCTCTCTGTCTCTCTCTCCTGTCCTTATCTCTATCTTTCTCCTGTGTCTCATTCTTCCTATCTCTTCTCTCTGAGTCTGTATGTCTCTGTCTCTCATCTTCTCTCTTTCTCTCATTCCCCTGTGTTTCTCTCGATCTAGTGTGCTGGATTCTCCTTTTTTTTTTTTTTTTTTTTTTATTAACATATTAGGTACATCTGCATTAGTGCAGCTACCCTAGACTATATACCCTCATAACTTTCAAGGGAAGAAGTCTAGGGACTTGGTCAGCCACCTTTCATTGCATTTGAGGCAGGTTATCATATTGCCTTACCTTTGTTGTTAATAGAACCGATCTTAACAAGCCTATGTCTGTCCCATACCTCAGACCATTCCTCCTGCAAAGTTGGGTGATACAAGCCCAAGTATCTGGCTTCCAACTATGGACAGATAGGCAAACAGGCATTCTCTTATATCTATAGATACTTTTGTGGATATTTGTACACCTGCATTTGTGCAGATTGTGGAAAAATCAACATGTCCTCAGAGAGGAGATACCCGTGGAGGTAATGACTTTAAAACCACAATGTTATTAGTGCTGTTATCTACTCCCTAAGTGAAGGTTAGGTTAGGTTAAGATTAGGTTAAGTGAGGGTTAGGTTAGGTTAAGATTAGGTTAAGTGAAGGTTAGGTTAGGTTAAGATTAGGTTAAGTGAAGGTTAGGTTAGGTTAAGATTAGGTTAAGTGAAGGTTAGGTTAGGTTAAGATTAGGTTAAGTGAAGGTTAGGTTAGGTTAAGATTAGGTTAAGTGAAGGTTAGGTTAGGTTAAGATTAGGTTAAGTGAAGGTTAGGTTAGGTTAAGATTAGGTTAAGTGAGGGTTAGGTTAGGTTAAGATTAGGTTAAGTGAAGGTTAGGTTAGGTTAAGATTAGGTTAAGTGAAGGTTAGGTTAGGTTAAGATTAGGTTAAGTGAAGGTTAGGTTAGGTTAAGATTAGGTTAAGTGAAGGTTAGGTTAGGTTAAGATTAGGTTAAGTGAAGGTTAGGTTAGGTTAAGATTAGGTTAAGTGAAGGTTAGGTTAGGTTAAGATTAGGTTAAGTGAAGGTTAGGTTAGGTTAAGATTAGGTTAAGTGAGGGTTAGGTTAGGTTAAGATTAGGTTAAGTGAAGGTTAGGTTAGGTTAAGATTAGGTTAGGTGAAGGTTAGGTTAGGTTAAGATTAGGTTAAGTGAAGGTTAGGTTAGGTTAAGATTAGGTTAAGTGAAGGTTAGGTTAGGTTAAGATTAGGTTAAGTGAAGGTTAGGTTAGGTTAAGTGAAGGTTAGGTTAGGTTAAGTTTCATTAGGCTTGGGTATGTTAATATAATGTATTATTCTTCAAAATGTGAAATATGGAATTCGAAAGCTATTTGGGTATACCCTAGAATTTCATGTACAGAAACCAAACTCTTCATACACTTTCAAAGAAAACTTGTTTAGCATATACTTTTTACATTTTAAACTAATGATTTAGAACACAATCAAATTATAACCTGAGAATGTTCTCTATTTAGGACAAAGGTTCACTTGTCAGTTTATAAGCAGACTATTTTAGGAACCATAATATGATTTTAGACCATCACAAATATCCAGGTGATTCAAGGGGGAAGGGAGGTGTCTCGTTGTAATGGATTTACTCAGAAAACAGGCTGTGAAATAAATGGAAAACAAAAAACCCATTTCAGACTTCAAAGAGCATCGCTGAGATTCAGAAGAGGAGCTAATATTTTTTTTAAAGACGGAGTAGTGACGTTGATCAGTCTATGACAGTCCTATACCATCCATGTGTAATTCTGAAAAGTCAGGTGAAGCTAACCTCCCCAATTGTCTGCCCACCAACATTTTACAGACAGAAAAACATCCTCTTTATAAATATAAATTGGATTGTTTCCTTAAAAATTGGGCTGCCAGCAGCTTTAACGACCCGAGCTATGAGATCATCTCCCTCAAGTTCTTCCCTACACAAACTATCGCCAACTTACATAAGAGTGACCTGCAGATGCTGCGCAGAACTACCTTACTGAATTTACGGGTTAAATACTTCATTGTATGAACAAATCCACAAGGCCAGTGACGAGGGTTCGAACCTACGTCCGAAAGGATCCCAGACGCAGCCTTAATCGACTGAGCTACGACATGGTTAAAAGAATGGCAACCAGTAGATCTTCATTGTATGCCTGTTGATGCGGACGTGCATTGTGTAGGCCCAAATTAATTTCTTTAGCCCAAGTTGATTATATTTGGTGTTTCTAGTGACCTCACACCACTTTTATTTAACATTTTCTTAAATTCAATTATATTTGTAATAAGGTTTTTAACAATTTTCTGAGGAAAAGTATATAAAAAGGATCACAGAACATTATAACTTTTAATGAAAACATCAGTTAAAAAAATAGAAATTAGAGTTCGTTGTATAACTTTAATTCGTTAGCCATAGGTGGGAGCGGGCTGGTAGGACGGGGCTGGTGCGGGCTTGTAGGCTGGGGCGGGCTTGTAGGCTGGGGCGGGCTGGTAGGCCGGGTACTGGGCCTCGCCCTGGTAGTCAACCTGGGCTATGTAACCGGAGTCGCCGTTGACGACGTAAGTCACCGTCTGGAGGCGACCGTCGGGAAGCTGGACGTAATACTTGCCCTGGGTGTCGTAGCCGTCACGGGACTCCTGGTGACCGAAGTCGTTGCCGGCATAGTCGTCCTTGACGGCATAGTTGAAGTCGTACCGAGGAGGACCCTGCAACATGCAACAAGCTGGTTATCCTCATTAAGTGTAAACAATTACATAAAACACCTTTTACAGGCTATGCACAATACGAGTAAAGGTGTATCTAGTCCTTTGTTTATTATTAATACACTCCGGAATACCACAAGGGGCAGCACTGGGACCTGTTCCACTTCCTGTATACGTAAATGCAACCATAGTGAAGTGACAACCCAAGAGAAGTGTTTACCACTCCTGGGTCAACCGGTTGACCCCTGGTAGCACTTTCAGGTGACTACATTTAAGCTAATACCCACACAAAGACACGTGGTTCCAAGTACCCACACAAATACACGTGGTTCCAAGTACCCACACGAACTCACATGGTTCTATGTACCTACACGAACGCACACATGGTTCAATATCTGCACACAGAAATATACATGTAGAAAAATCTCTTCATCGGTATAAAGTAGTCAGCAAATAGAGTGATCAAACCAGTGAGGTACTTTAGCCTTACTGCATACATGGTTTCAGGCCAAGCAGCTGAAAGGCAGAGCCCAGGAGCTGAGACTCGTCTTGCAAAGCACATGTTGATAAGCACCCACACTTGAATACAGACATGGGCCAAACCTACATGATACTTATTGTCTCAGGAGGAAATAAACGATATTATAGGACTTACCACAATGAGAGGCTGGTGGTGGAGTGGTCCAGGTGGGCCATAGCCTGGTGTGAGAGGGCCCTCTGGCCGGGCCATGGCCACCACTGCCAGGGCCGCCAGTGCCAACACCTGCCAATGGAACGAGAATATTATTATTGGTATTGGTACGTCCTGGACCATTCTCAAGACAATCGACTTGAGAATGGTCCAGGACGGACCAAAACGTCGTCGTCCCTTCACCTTCTAGTGTGTGGTCTGGTCAACATTCTTTAGCCACGTTATTGTGATCATCGCCTGCATTATTGATATGTACTCCTAGAAGCTGGATGTACTCTACTGATGTACATTTCCCTATTCCTTTGGGGGATTTACTGTTACATAATGTACCAAGATTAATATAAAATTAATCTCAGTACACTCGTTTATAATAATTATAAGATAATTTATTACGCGTATCTCGTACCCAAGATAATTACACTCGAGCAATACTCAATTACCTCAAAGCACATTTCATATTCTGTTCATAGATCAATGGATTTGCCAGACAGGCAGAAATAGATGAGCAGTCAGAATGATCAATTTAGCCTTCTCTACTTGCGTAATGTTGGACCAGTTTTTATTACCAGTCCGGAGGATGTGAGGCGTCGCGACGCCACCTCTGTCTGTCAGCGTTGATGAACGGGGACCTGAGTGTGTCGGTGAAGCCTAGATGAGGAGCCTCAGGCGGTGATCGCCAGTGAAACCTGGTGGTGATCGCCAGTGAAACCTGGTAGTGATCGCCAGTGAAACCTGGTGGTGGTCGCCAGTGAAACCTGGTGGTGATCGCCAGTGAATAATGACAACGAAAGCCTAATCTGTCGACTGCCGGGTTAGTGTTTGTGTCTGTACTTCAGGGATCTAGACACAAACACTCCTCCCAGTACCATGTAACGTCCACTACTGTGACCTTGTGTCTGCGACAGGCCAGGCACGCTACATAAACTTACAGTGCTGGTAGGAGCTTACGGTGCTCTGGTACTTGATTCATCGTCCTATTCGAGTACCTACAAGCCCCTTATCGAGTTCTTTAGATTCAGCTACTTGGAAGAAAAGTACCAAGTAGCACGAGCTATGGTGAGCCCGTAGTGGACTTACCTGGCACAGGAGCGGGGCAAGTAGCACGGGCTATGGTGAGCCTGTAGTGGACTTACCTGGCACAGGAGCGGGGCAAGTAGCACGGGCTATGGTGAGCCCGTAGTGGACTTACCTGGCACAGGAGCGGTGCTGTAACTAATAAAGTGACACTAATATCCCACTCAACAGGTCAGGAGAACAAGCCAAGCAGGGTAGAAGGAGACAATGAGTACCTTATAAGTCATGACGAGTATAGAGTGAGGGTGGAGAGAGAGATGTGATGCCTTGTGCTCCTTGCTACTGGCTTATATATACCTCTGCCCTCCGCCCTTGGCTCTGGGTTACGTCACAGGAGTTAAAAGTCATCCGGCTCTTGAATAACTCTGATGTAATCCACGCTACTCTGGATTATAATATTTCTAACATTTATGTCTAATATTATGACCCGTTCTCCACTATTATATTCATATGTTTGCTCATTTCATTTTACCTGATGCATCTGTTCACCTAGCAGTAACTAGGTACCCGGAAATTGGGCCACTGTTCTGGGACTCGTCCTGTGGCAGGCCTAGAGGCCAGCCTAGGCCAGGAATGGCAAAACTTTCTGAGAGTGAGTGCCCAAATAAGCAATAATTTTCTAAAAAAATTCTCTCTCGTGCCCATGGGAATTTTGAGTCGCAGATTAAATTCATTATTATATTTGTATGTTATCATTTTGTTTATTGAGGGAGATAACAATATGTATGAAAGTATAGCAGAGGATGAAGTAAATGAATGCTTTTTAGGAAGCCTGTTACAAAATTATTAATAATGATATTTTAACTAGACAATTGAAAATTAACATAATTTATAAGTAGTATTCTACATTTTAAGCAACAAGAAATGTGAACGTGAAATTATGAACTTTAGTTCATAATATTAAGCATAGACAAATGAAATTGGAGGAAAATAAGGTTATTTTATTCCATTCAATTTCAATTCAATGGAATTATAATTCGATTCAATTCCATTATATATAATATATAAGGTTTATTTTACACTAGGTGAGACTTTTTTGCTGCCACATCAAGGATAACACTATTTGGTTGTTTTGAGAGTTATTCATACAGTACTAGTTTCATCTGTACCCACACTTCTGTACCATATTTTTATAATTCCAGTTAACAAAGTCGGTGACCTGAGTGACTATGAAAATGAAAATACTGGTAATGTTACTATTGCCAGAATTTTCGGTCCCAAATTTCAGTAGTGGAATTTCAGTTTCCAAACCTCATCTTTTGTAGTTTTCTGCGTTAATCCAGTAGCTAATTTATCTCTTTTTCAATATTTTCTACTTCAGGGGCCAGATTCACGAAGCAGTTACGCAAGTACTTACGAACCTGTACATCTTTTCTCAATCTTTGGCGGATTTGTTTACAATTATTAAACAGTTAATGAGCTCCGAAGCACCAGGAGGCTGTTTATAACAATAACAACAGTTGATTGGGTAGTGTTCATGCTTGTAAACTGTTTAATAAATGTAACCAAAGCCGTCAAAATTGAGGAAAGATGTACACGTTCGTAAGTCCTTGCGTAACTGCTTCGTGAATCCGGCCCCAGCACTTTAGTCAATACATTTTTGCCATCAAATTGAGCTGCTTTATAAATCATTCGGTTACATCTCAAAATTATTTAAACTGATCCACTGCAACATATAGAAATTCGGGTTATCTAATGTTACACTGCCTGTGCACTTTGTGAATTTTGAAGTTCCTTCAAAAGATCTAAATTTAGTCATTCTTAAAGAAAAATGAATCTTCGAAAAATGCATTCGAAAGCTCTGAATATCTGATTTCTCATGATGTTCAAAATCTGTCGTGCGTTTTTTTTTCTAAATTTAGGAAATATTTATAAGTATCATTGTCCATATCATGTTTTAAACGTTTTCAGTTTGATTTCAAAGGCTATTTATAATCAAACATAATATCAAATATTTTGCCAGCTCCCTGTAATTTAGTGTTCAAGTCATATAATGCGAGGAGAAAACTGTGAAAACCATCTACAAGCCCACATAATGTCTGATAATTCTGGACAAAAACATTTTTCATTCGTCAAAAATAGACGAATTTCACCCAAACACTCAACAAATCGCTTAAGCACAAAATCTCTACGAAGTCAACTTATATTATTACACATAAGCAGTCCGGTGTAGACGTAATTCACACCTCTCAGTAAATTCTGGAAACTGTCCCAATTTGTGAAAAAAATGTACTGCTTCCTTTGGAATTAACGATAATCTTTACTTATTGGTTATGGGTGAATTTAAAGTATAAATAGCAGCACCACATGCAACGTGAGAGCAAAATCTGCTTGGGGTGCCACCGTGGGCACGTATGCCATTCTGGGCACGCATGCCACCGTGGGCACGCGTGCCATATGCTTACTACCCCCTGGCCAGGGGAAAGTCTTTAGTAATCCTCACGATTTTCCAAATCCCAACGATCTCAGCAATGGGCTGACTGTCCTTGTGCCGATTTCATAAACTGGGTATTGGAGTGGCTGTTCTTGGACAACACACTCTGTGCTCACAACACTCTCATAGTACACATACAACAGGAGACAATAACAAAGTGTAACTAGTGACGCCAACTATACAAATCAACAACAGTGTGAGGAACTGCCCTGAAACATACATTCGACTCTACCCTTATGGTGAGTCACCTGTATAGTCTTTTCCTCTTTTCCTGACTTAACTTTGTCCCCGAACTCTCAGTGCTATAAATCAGATGTTCCTTCATGTCACTTCTCGCTTGAGAATCAACGTTGAAGGTTCTAATCATTGTATAAAGTTATAAGTATAATGCATTATACAGGTAACTTTTGCTCTTTTAGTCAACCTTGAACAAACATGACATTTAGAGAACTCCTCTTCGAGTTACTTAAGATGCAGGAGCACTAAACACAGCAATAGCAGCACTAAACACAGGAATAGCAGCACTAAACACAGCAATAGCAGCACTAAACACAGCAATAGCAGCACTAAACACAGGAATAGCAGCACTAAACACAGGAATAGCAGCACTAAACAAGAAAATAATCAATTTGCAGTCATATTCAATGAAACACACACACACACACACACACACACACACATATATATATATATATATATATATATATATATATATATATATATATATATATATATATATATATATATATATATTATATATGTCGTACCTAGTAGCCAGAACGCACTTCTCAGCCTACTATACAAGGCCCGATTTGCCTAATAAGCCAAGTTTTCATGAATTATTTGTTTTTCGACTACCTAACCTACCTAACCTTACCTAACCTAACTTTTTCGGCTACCTAACTTAACCTAACCTATAAAGATAGGTTAGGTTAGGTTAGGTAGGGTTGGTTAGGTTCGGTCATATATCTACGTTAATTTTAACTCCAATAAAAAAAAATTGACCTCATATAGAATGAAATGGGTAGCTTTATCATTTCATAAGAAAAAAATTAGAGAAAATATATTACTTCAGGAAAACTTGGCTTATTAGGCAAATCGGGCCATGCATAGTAGGCTGAGAAGTGCGTTCTGGCTACTAGGTACGACATATATATATATATATATATATATATATATATATATATATATATATATATATATATATATATATATATATATATAATATAATCAAACTGCATAGTGTTTAATAGTGACTTTGTTATCGACGAGTTTGTGAAGTAACTTTGATCGAAAATATGCGCCATATATACGGGAGAATTTATAAAACGGGTAAATAATAATTTTATTTAAAAAAAAAACATTGGTGGACATAGAAAAATAACTGTTAAAGGTGTTCGTTGTATAACTTTAGTTTGTTAGCCATAGGTGGGAGCGGGCTGGTAGGACGGGGCTGGGGCGGGCTGGTAGGCTGGTGCGGGCTGGTAGGCTGGGGCGGGCTGGTAGGCCGGGTACTGGGCCTCGCCCTGGTAGTCAACCTGGGCTATGTAACCGGAGTCGCCGTTGACGACGTAAGTCACCGTCTGGAGGCGACCGTCGGGAAGCTGGACGTAATAAGAGCCCTTGGTGTCGTAGCCGTCACGGGACTCCTGGTGACCGAAGTCGTTGCCGGCATAGTCGTCCTTGACGGCATAGTTGAAGTCGTACCGAGGAGGACCCTGCAACATGCAACAAGCTGGTTATCTATATCGAATTTAGATAATTAGTCTCTACTTCATCAGGCTATAAACAGCCACTTATGTCTACTGAAACTTTTCAGCTGCCGCCTGGGACAGCCCGAACAAGGGCGGAAAGACTTCAACTTTGTGTTCGGAAACAATAACGTGCTTTAATGAGAGCTTACCACAATGAGAGGCTGGTGGTGGAGTGGTCCAGGCGGGCCATAGCCTGGTGTGGGAGGGCCCTCTGGCCGGGCCATGGCCACCACTGCCAGGGCCGCCAGTGCCAACACCTGTCGAAGGATCAAGTGTCACAGCTGCACAACTATGATGTTTATTCTACGTATTTATTTTTTTGCTTTGAAGTGAGCATTGGCACCTAATTTGTCAAAGTACTCGAGTGCCAGCAAGCCCCTTATCGAGTGCTTTAGAGTCAGCTACTTGGAACACAAGTTCCAAGTAGCACGGGCTATGGTGAACCCGTAGTGGACTTACCTGGCACAGGAGCGGGGCAAGTAGCACGGGCTATGGTGAGCCCGTAGTGGACTTACCTGGCACAGGAGCGGGGCAAGTAGCACGGGCTATGGTGAGCCTGTAGTGTACTTACCTGGCACAGGAGCGGGGCAAGTAGCACGGGCTATGGTGAACCCGTAGTGGACTTACCTGGCACAGGAGCGGGGCAAGTAGCACGGGCTATGGTGAGCCCGTAGTGGACTTACCTGGCACAGGAGCGGGGCAAGTAGCACGGGCTATGGTGAGCCTGTAGTGGACTTACCTGGCACAGGAGCGGGGCAAGTAGCACGAGCTATGGTGAGCCTGTAGTGGACTTACCTGGCACAGGAGCGGGGCAAGTAGCACGGGCTATGGTGAACCTGTAGTGGACTTACCTGGCACAGGAGCGGGGCAAGTAGCACGGGCTATGGTGAACCTGTAGTGGACTTACCTGGCACAGGAGCGGGGCAAGTAGCACGGGCTATGGTGAGCCCGTAGTGGACTTACCTGGCACAGGAGCGGGGCAAGTAGCACGGGCTATGGTGAGCCCGTAGTGGACTTACCTGGCACAGGAGCGGGGCAAGTAGCACGGGCTATGGTGAGCCCGTA